TCTGCTGCTTCCTTTTTTGCTGCTTGTTCCAGCTTCTGACGCGCGGCTGAAGCATCTTTGCTGCTCTAGCTGCGCGGTGAAAAAGTGGCTCTGACGCGCGTTGGGCGGAGCTACTCTATCCTTTATTTGCCTTGCAGCTATATTTGCTGTGATCAGTGGGAATAAAGTAGTTTTAATGTTTTTAAGTGGGAAAATCCACCTGAAAACTTAATCAGTGCAGTCAGTTTATCCTGCCTTCCAATATTATTTCTGTCGGAGCCGCTCAGACCCCCACATACCAGAGGTGCGCTGTCAGTAGGATCCCATTCAACGGGCTTGTTTGTCAGACATGGTAATTTTTCTAAAGGAAAACTGCTAAGTAAAAAGGTCCTCACAATGTAACAGTGAATATTAGACACTGAAATTTTTTTTTTATGAAAGAGGAAAAATGTAAATGGAAAAATCACAGCTTAAAATAAAACTCAAGATTTGTACTTTTTTATGTTGTGTAATTTTCTTTTTCTTCGAATTGATATTATAAAACTGGTATCGAAAAAAGTATAATTCAGGAGCCGGTATCGAAGTGAAGGTATTGGTATTGGTACCGGAACCGAACATTTTTGAACAATACCCAACCCCAGTTCCAACAATATAATAATATTAAGAGTTGTTCGGAGGACTTTATGTGAGCTTCCAGCCTTAGTGGAAGGCATGGGAATTGCAGAAACAGAGGGAGACGTTTTTGCCGTTCCACCACCGAAAGAGTAAACTAATAGCACATAAATTTAATTAACAATCATCAAATTGTTATTAGACCCAAATGGGAGGGATTTTTAGTATTTTTAGCTATCATAAAGTTTAAATTACCCATAGTAGCATAAATGTAATAAGGATAAATTAACATTAAACATTAAATAATCATAAAGGAAAATCAGAAAAATGTGCAACAATATAGTACAAAGCGATTTCAGTTTCATTTACAGCTTGTAAACAAATAATCACTTTTAAAAGAAGTGAAAAAAGTTGTGGAAAAAATTAAAAACACAAAGTGGGAAGATGTAGAAAACCTATATAAAAAACATTTTTTCATTAACGCTTGACACCATCTCCTCCTTGAAGCTTCTAACATTCCAGTGTGGTATTTAATCTAGATTACGTATCATCTAGATTAATGTAATTGTAATCTTGGAAGTAATCTAGATTAATCTAGATTAAAATCTCTCATTTGAATTCTGTCAAAGAAATTCATGATATGCGTGTGCTACCTAAACAGTAACCTGTTCAATACATTTTCTCTGGAGCAAACCCAGCATCTTTATAGCTGCATCCATGTTTAACATTTTCTGAGAAGCAGGCAGAGTTTCAGGACTGACTTTGGGGAGGCCTGCTTAGCATCTCTGCCTTCATAAACCATACACATAAAGCACAGCCATTTAACTTGCTAAATATTGAATAGTAATACTTTTTACCCATAAGGTTTACTTTTCCGTTATTCATCTTTAAGGATTTTATCTTCCAACATCTATTTTTCCCTTTAACAAAAATGTAGAATCCTATAGAATTCTTATCCCACTTTAGAATGTATGTTTAAGGCTTAGAGGCTGATGCCAACATCTTACAAAAGCTTAAACACAGTTTACCTTATTTAATATGAATAATTATGCCCATTCCAGACCAGCCACCAACATTCAGACTGGATTCTTACTGTTATAATTCATAGTTATAAACATAAAATTCAAAGAACAAACACTCTCTTTAGCCCAATATAACTTTTTTTAAGACCACAAATATTTGCAACAAATATTAGAGACGCATCGATACGAGACAGTGGCAGTTCATGGGCTGGTGTTTTTCATGTGGGGCATAGAACAAAAATAATAAACAACAAGTTTAAAAAGTATAAAAATATATTGTAAGCAAGAAATCCATAGCTATCAGCTGGAAAATGTTGACGTACCTTAATACGGCTGAAGCCTAAAGGCGGATATAATTGTGAAATACTTGTTAAATTGTAAACTGTAAAGGTGAATGATTAAACAGGTCATAGGGACCAATCAGTAACACAATGCAAAAACTGTCCATCTAACCAGGCTTTAACTGGAAAAACTCAGCAGTTTCTGACAAGGATTTGTTGTCTATCTTTGCTAGATTAAGTCAAATTAAGACCGGACCAACAGGAATTGTTGACTTGAAGCCAGACACACTGTGCCATATTTTCAATTCTTGCCCGCAGCTACGGCTCACACTGTACGATGAAACCGCAGGGTTTTGTCTTACAGTATAAGTTAATAGCTTATGATGTTTGTTCTCACACTGTGCGCCCAGATGCGATCTACCGGTCACTGTGCGTCTAAAAACCACGTCGGACTCAGCTCCGCAGTGAGATGGCATTACTCGGACTTGTCTATCCGTAAGCCAAACAAGTAGAAGAGGAATATGAAGCTTACAAGAGTACAATGCGCTGCCTTGACAATTTGTGCAATTTTGTGGGTTGAAAGCCCTAAAAAGAAAAGACGGCGACGTATTTGGGCAAAGACATGGCTGAGGAAATGTGGCTACTATGATCTGTCAGTTTTACAGAAAAAGCTCCTTTTAACTTACACCTTCTGAGAGGAAGAAAAATAATCCTTTTTTGTGCATGCCCACTGAGTGATTTGCCCATGACTAACTTACATTGACCATATGAATTTCAAACATGTTTGATTTTCTTCGGACCTTACGATTCCCGATCGGGAGGTAGCCATGAGCGGCTGATTGCCCCTTGTTACCCCCTGTACAGTACATGACGCGCGATGAGGCTGACAGTTGGCCTGATCAAAAAATTCTTGCACGACTGGAGAATCGTACAGCGTATGCCCGGCTTCAGAAAGATTTTAACCCTAATATTTCTACCTTGATTCTTAACTAAAATTACACTTTTTTATGATGAAGATGAAATTATTTTGCCTAGCTGAAATTTCATTTTTTGATCATTTTAAATCAAGTAGACTTAACATATCAATATAATATTCTGTCCACTTGTTTTAGTTTGGCTTTCTGTAAATGATGTAGGTTGTTGCTTTTCTGAATAAAAAAAAAATATATGCATTTTTTCACTAACTTAATACCCTAATTTACATAAATCAGATCACTGAATTGACAATGCAATCCTGAGACCAAGAACAGATTGTCAAACTCACCTCTCCCTTTTTAACAGTCATTGACTGTCTGCGTGGTGTGATCTCTTCATTAATGCTGGACAAAAAGTTCTGGGAGATTCGCAGGGCGTCCTGCAACAATGGAAAGTCTGGATGGCTGGAGGGTGTGTGCTTCAGAAGGTCCTAAAAAGGAAAACAGAATAATCATAAATTTGTTTTCAAAAGTGGTTCACCATGACAGAAGGTTGTGACCCCAGATAACAGACTTACATGAAGGACTAGGGTGCTGCGTGTCACCCTATCCACAGGCTTATAGAGTAGAGCTGTGGAGGAAGAAGAGTTGCTCAACTGGAGTCATCACCCTATAAAATATACTACTGAAGGCTGGCAGTTGGACAGACCCAATACTCACTTTCCAGAGAATTTTTAGCTGACTGTTCTTTGCATTCCTTTGTGCTTTTTACTTTGAGATTCTGACAGAGACAGAATGAAAAAAAAAAGACAAAAGGAACAAAATACCTTCATTAATTAAGAGCTGTGAAAGTGAGGACAACAAAGAACTGCCCTTTCATCACTACTCTCAGGTAGTCCACCACTAAACCTCCCTGCCGTGTGTAGCATGACAACATACCTCAGATATCTGTGCAAACTGAGAGTTGGCCTGGCAGCACTTGTCTGCCGTCTCCACAGCAACCTTATAGTTGTCTACGAAAGCCCGATACACTCCAAGCTCGCTGGCCTGTAGTGAACAGAGGCGGCTCAGATTAGACTCACTCCAGGAGAGAATAGATTTTAGGGATTGCTGCTTTATCTCTGCAGCATGCCACAATCAAAAATACAGTCATCCAGCTGATACAGCAGATTGTGATTCAGCATTACCTTCTATTTTTAAACCTCTTTACGCATGTGTCTTTAATCTTTTGCCTTCAACAGTGAAAACTGAAGTTACTTTGTAAGCATCCACCTCCTATGGAGCCTTCTGCAATACTTAACTACCTGTAATGTGGTGAAGCGACTCTTTTATCTGGCCAGGAGACACCTTCAGGCAGTCTACTCAGATGTGAGGTCCACCAAGATCCCTTAAGCTTTGAAATTAGAGCCAGAAACTATCAGCTTCCCACTCTGCAGGTCTTTACTCTTTAAAAAATCTTTACCAATCAAGGAAAGGCATTTAAACAAATTAGTTTTTCAAAGTTAGACACAAGCTAAATACTGGTCTCTTTGATAAAAAGTCAAAACGCTATGTGGTGTTATAGGAAGTTGTTGTTTTTACTCACAGAACAAACCAGAATGTTTTAGTTTGTTATATAACTCCTGTTGTAAGTAAACAATGATCATGTTAATATTGATTAAAATTGATCATTGTAATAAAAAAATTTAACATTTTACACATACTAGTCAAACATATTCTTGTTTACACCTTCTTATTTGTGGTTTAAAGCATTATTCCCATCTTCCTTCAGGTTGAATCAAAGTAAGTGGAATATCAAGTTTTGCATGTCTGGGTTCTGTTCGGACATGTTGCTCTATCTCTAGGATTCTATCACCCCTAAGAAAAAATGCGTTACAACTATTTTTTTTGTGTACAAAGAGTCTGTTTATGCTGCTAACAAAAACTTGGGTAAGCCAAGATTTTTGCAGGAATCTGATCCACTTATTTTAAATTGTGATTCAGTACCTAGATTTAATAATAATTGAACTTTATTGATTACACATTGACTTAGACAGATTTTATTTTGTCCTTTTGAACACCAGGTGTAAACAAAAATACATTTGGTTAAGTACAGCTCTCTATACTATTTTATTTTTTAAAGTGCAGGTAAGCAGCAGTGATAAAAACACTGTGATGAAATAAAGTGATGTAAACTTGAAAAATTGGATAATAATACCTAAATGTTAGAAATTTACCTTTGCATTTACGGAACCCCATTCCCTTTGGGGAGCAGTGGGCTGCCATTGTGTGGTGCCTGGGGAGCAATCAGGGGTTAAGGGTCTTGATCAGGGACCAAGAGTGCAGGCTGTGGGGATCGAACCGGGTACTTGCAACCTTCTCAGAGCACAAATGCACTGCTCTGACCACTAGGCCAACAATCCCCCGCTATCAACAGAAATTTGGATTTCTGTTGATAGTGCTCATGTTTTCTAGCAGAAGTTAAACTTTTCTGGAATGACTGCAGAATGATTCCTACTGCTCCTTTTGTCCTCCTGCTCCCTCGCTAAAAGTTCTCCAGTTTTCATCAGATGTTTCAGTTTTTTCCTGCATTGTTGACGGTGATGGAGCTTCACAATTAAATGCAATGGCTGTTTAAACATTGTACGTTGCGGTGGAGCTACCAGATCTGCACTGGTGGTCAGACCTACTTAGGGCCCTGCCCCTTCTTATGACGTCATCATATGGCAACTCCACTGTATTGCATCAATCTCTTTTGGACTCACAAGCTACTATATTGGCTATTATTTTACATTTCATGCAATCTAAAGTAGCCGAAAGTTGTTAATCATTGTCTGTCTTGAAGGAAAGCACTGCGTTCTAAGACAGACTGAGCTCTGCCATTCACCAAGGTAATAAATAAAAGTCTCAGCTTATTTTTGTTCTTTTTATTAAGATCTGATGGAAGGGAAGGACAAATGAAACTTTCTTAGAGATTTTAGAAAAATAAAACAGCTATTAGAAAATGACGTTTTTGTAACACTAAGTTAAAAGCAGGATAGCCTTACAGACATCCCAAGTCTCCCGAAACTTCCGGGAGACTTCATCAATCATTAGACAGGCTAATGCTACAGATTCTCCCGACTAGGCACAGGGACGCTGCAACTCATCCTTTAACTTCCTCCAGTCTGAAAACAATGCTAGGTGCTGTTTGGCATCCCGTCGCACAAGCATCCTGTCTCTTACAGCCGATGGAAAGAAAATAGACTGAATAGTTCCATTCTTTAATAGTGTGACCACCAAAATTATTAATATTTGACTAGTGCATCTATGGATTTATGTCAACAATAAAAAGTAAAAAATAAATTACAGAGGTGCATAACTTCCAAGGATCAGGATGGAAATAAAAACCTGTGTACCAGCTTTTGGAAGAGGTCGCCTACACACTGCTGGTAGCTCCAGTCTTGGACTCGGGGCAGCAGAGCATTGTAGAAATCCTTGTGGATCTGATGGAGCTCTGGAACTTTGAAGAAGATTGTCTCTATCTGCTGGATGGTCAGCATTGGCTGGGAAGTAGTGGCTGCAGCCTTTAGAGGCTTCATAGGCTACGAAGAAAACACAATTAGTTCAAAACAGACAGTGTAAATAAGTCTATTAATAATTTCAAACTGTGTTTACAGAAGTGAAGTAGACCTACTGGACAAAATAATTGATTTTTTGAAAAGGGCTGAATCTGAATAGTGCTGTTTTTTTGTCGAGGTGAAAGGCGAAAGGTGAAAAAACGAATTATTTTCCACTTTTACCTGATGTATTACAACATTCAATTGCCAAGCACGTCACTTGGGCATTGTCAGTTTAACTATTACTCTTGCAAATTTCAACGGTGAAGTCCTCTCGAAATCTTTAAACATCTTTGTTGATTGCAGATGTGTATCATAGTTTCCATTGATTTTGCTTGTAAAGCAGAGAGAATGGCGCTCGGCTTACCGTACCTTGATGTCACTGCAGGAAGATGTCAGGAGGGAGGTGTTACTATATGTGGGCAAAAATGGCCGGTCTCGGACTCGGTGATCGCATCAAAAAATTTTATTTTTATCTTTTTACTTGTTAACGCTGAATTCATTAAATCACTGCAAATGTATTAGGTTTAGGTATAGATAATGATCCAATGATTATTCTTTGCTGACTAGGAACCAATTACATTAAAAAATTCTTTAAAGCTAAGTTTAAAGTTAAAGTGTATTTTACGTACAAAACTAAAAGGATAAACTATAGGGATAAACGGGGATAAAGTAAAGGGATAAACCAAAGGGATAAACAGGTTTTGACTATGGGTATGCTGATCTGACAGAACACCGGCTCTGGTGTTCTCGCAGCATACCAATCAGAGCTGAGGCATTTTAATGTGAGTTGCTTGGCCGAGTGTTGAATTCCGAGCTTATAGGGCGGCCCAAACAAAGGCCTTGATATAGCTAAGAAAACATGCAAATTGAACCGGAACCAAAGGTTGTTCCTATAATTTGCAAATGTCCTGAGTAATTTCTCGTACTCATCCAAAATGGAGTGCAATATGCTGATGAAGATTCTCAGTCATCCAGGTCAGAGTCATTCCAAAAAAGTAAAAAAAAAAACAAAAAACGCTGGACTTTGTTTTCCAGGTTTGAAGACATTTTGCTAACAATCCTGAAAGCTTTCTCAATTCAAAATGCCGCGAGTAGCGTTGAGTTCCAAGCTTATAAGGTAGTTAAAACAAAGGCCTTATCGCTTAGAAAATATACATCTTAAACTTTCTCTAAAAAGTTGTTTTTTGGCAATTGAACTGATATAAATCTTACCTGAGCAGATGTATTTTTGGTTACAAATGGTAGGAGACAGTTGGAATATTGCAAGACTCTTTGGTGTGTTTAAAAACAATGAAAAGACGGACCAAAAAGCATTATTTCTCAAAGATTTCTACAAAGATTTATGACAGATAGCAAAATGATTTCTGAGCGTATGGTCAATCAAGCTAAAATTTGACCCAACAATTTTTTGGTTTATTTTTAATATCAACAACACATTTTATTTGGACATTTAAGCATAAAGTATTTTTACATACAATCAGCAGGGCTTCCAGGTGGTTGAGGTAGGTTTCCTCACTGGCCAGGATCCCAGACAGAACCCATTTCCTCATCTCCTGCCTCTTTTCCTGTTCCAGCTCCACCTGATTCGACATGGGATCAGGGACAAAAGAAACCTGTTAGAAGATGTAAAAAGGTTGCATTTTCTTTAACCAAGATGGCTACAGATAACAAACCTGAAGCTTGTTTACACTCTGCAGGAGTTTTACATTCCAAGAGGCCTGCACCAGACATTGGTTGCCATTTAAAAAAAGTAAATTTTCCCTCTCACCAAGAAGTTGTTTTAAACTGGTCAAAGATATTAGCCACTGAAGTAGGGACATATGTCAGTAAAAAACGATTAGTGGAACAAACAACTGAGCATCATCAAACTCTGCTCTGCAAGAAAAAGAAGCAGTGTGTTAGCTGAACCCATGCACCTCCACCCCGATAAGGGCTTTGAAAATCACAGATGAGACTACCACACATAGAAGAACGGAACAAAAAGGAGAAGGGATGTTAAAATCTTTTTAACACCTGGTTAACCAAAGTATGCATGGTCTTTTCACCAACACCCTGCCTCACAATGAAAAGCATTTGCCATCTGGAAGCTGCACTGTATTTAATTGGTAACCTATGGGTGCAACAGCAGGATATGTGGCAAATTTTTTTTATTCATTTTGTAAACACATAGTGTGTTTATAAAATGGAAAAAATATAAAGTGTTTTTTTTTTAATCTTATTGTGTTTTGCATTAAAATGCAAATGGCAAAGTTTTGTATTATTATCAAAATGTTTGAGAACTTTGATGGACTGAAATTACACAGTTTGAAGAAGTTGTTGGCTTGACAAACACTGTAAGTGAAGGAAAGCCACGTTATCACTACCACTGTGAAAAAGTGCTTCAATTCAATTCAGTTTATTCATATAGCGCCAATTCAAAACACTCAATTTTAAAGCACTTTATAGGAGACAACACATTAAAATTGGATATAAGATTCTGTGAAGGAAAACCAGTTGATTACATCCAGTCACTGACTTGCAATACATGCTCCTCCTGGATAAGCGGTGATGATCATCACTCTCATTTTGTTGTTGACTCTTCAGCAATCCCTCACACCAATGTCGCTTGTGTGAAAAACTCCCTTTTAACAGGAAGAAAACTCCAGCAGAATCATGCTCAGTCTGAGTGACCTTCTGCAAAGGCGGACTGAGGTTCAAGAAGAATTGTCTCTGTAAAGTATCTTGATGTGTTGTGAATTAGAGCTATATAAATTACCTGAATTTAATTTAATTTTCTGACTGACTTCTCTTTAGCAGCTTTTTTTCTTTGCAATTTTGTGTTTCTTGTCTAATTTTTGAGTTTACAAGTGTAAACTCTTGTGTTTGCAGAACTTTTTTATCATGCCGTTCACCCCCCCTCAGTAACTGTATTCAAGCTCATAAAAACAGCTTTTTGAGGAGCTAAATTCAATTATTTTTCGCTACACAAGACAAAGGGTATAAGTAGTCATAGTCCAAACAAAACACACTAAATTATATGACATGTTATGCTGTTAAAGAAAAAGAACACTAATTACCTACAATAAGATGAAAAAAACATGTTTCCTTGTTTTTGTTTAACTTAACATAGCAGAAAAACACGACACAACACGAAAGGAGGAACTAAAGATAAAGCATGGTGTGCACAGAGTTTGGACAGAATATACTGGAGAAGGCTGCAGCGGCAGAACTGACGTGTAACGTGTCAGAGTTGTCCTTTACCGACTGTGTGGAATCGAGAGAACCTGAAGAATGCATCAATCTGCTGTTCCTGTTCTTGGAGTGGAGCTGTGGAGAGGAGGAAGGAGACCCGGTCAACGACAGAGCCCCACAGTCAGGCTGGTTCTCCTCTGAATGCTCCAGGTCATAGCCATATGATGGAGGGTTTTCGATATGGGGAGCATCTGGGAGAAATATGAAAACAAAGGACAATAGTCACATGGTGTGCTGGTAAGCTGCTGGGTCCTGTTAAAACAGAGACACATTATGGACTAGGCATCAAGCATAAGCAAAATTTCCAACTGGAATCTGAACTATGTCAATGCCAGACAACATCTATGCCCTTTCGTTGGTCAGCCTGTGCATCACTTCAGTTGACATGACCTTTGGTGGCATATTAAAGTTTATGTATAGAAAATCTGCCTTAAGTCTAAAACTTAGCTTCATATGAACCAATTGATCGCTTAAAGCCTAATGATTCAATATCTCCAAGAGAAATTTATAAAGATATTAACTAAAACATATGTCATAAATTCAATGCAAAACAGTTCAAAAAGTGTGTGAACAGAAATTTGTGTGGATTTGTGGAATGTTGAACTCATAGCTTCCTCCACATGATGCTCCAAGCTGTTAGCATGGATTTTAATGGCAGCCTTTTTAATAATTTGCCATCCAGTAAGTTCAGAAAGACGGCCATGTTAGGTTTGTATGATATCACCAAATCTTGCAGAAGCAAAGCTGTTGCTGTAATGCAGATAACGGTTACATTCAATGCTAGATGAGCATCTACAACACCAAAACTTATTCACACAGGCCAAGGAGTATGCTGGCAACTGCAATGTTATTTTATGTTTTCTCTCACTTTATGTTAAAGAATAAGGTAGTTAAAGCTAAAATGTATAATTTTTAGTGACATCTAATAGTCAGACTGCAGTGACATGAACCGCTCACCCCACCGCTTCTCCCCCTCTAACAATACAGAAGCCATCATGGTACCAAAGGGGTTCTGCAACGTCCTCATCATCTTCTCAACAGATGATCTGGTTTGTTTACATAGATAATTTTCTACATAGTATTTTATCAGTCTGTGTAGGATAAAGATTTGATATATGCCTAACTTGCTACAGTCACATTTGAGCGTAATAATTACCTCTATAGTCACTAGTTTGTCAGCTCTGTGCCTCCATAGCACAAAGATGTATGGCTCCAAAAATGTGAAACCTGCTGCCATGTAATTATAAATAGCAATTTCTAAGGCAATTAAATCAAAGATTGGGACTTTCATTTTTTAGATGAAAATTACCTACTTATCTATAATGTGTATATCTGTGAGTACATACCTTTAATTATTATACACTGTAGCTTTAACCGTTTTAGTTTGTCCTTATCCAGACATATTATATAATTTCCAATAGGCAAGTTGGGGGTTGTACACAGATTACTAGTTAAAACAAAAAATTTTAAGACAAATGCTTTTAGATCACTGTAGTTAACATGTTATGAACTTTAAAAATAAATCCACAACAACAAGCTCTAATATTTTGGCATTAAATCCACAGTTAAATTCCACTGACCTGTGACCTACATAAATGCAGCATATTCCAGTCACAGAGCTGAAGTCAGGTCAGTGGATAAACAAGTAAGAAGGCAGGGCAAACACACATGCCCTGCTCATTATACACAATGTCCCCCTTCACACACTTGTTTTGTTAAGAAGGATTCTTTAGCTTGGTGTGATTTTTCCTTATTATTTACCATTTATTTAAACAAGTCCTAAAAATCAAACAGCAAAATATATTTTTTAGGATCCTTTTAAAAAAATAAAATAAAGGAGGTGTTGCAACAGCATTGCTTGCAGCCAGGCTGTTCTGGACAAACATGATAGGAATACATGTAACACTTGTCATTCAGAGTTTTTAAGATTAGCAGCCTTCTGCATACTGTAATTACCGTCAGCCACTCCAACTCACCGACACATGTAATCATTATTGTCCCTGCTGTCAAATTTTTGGCTGCTTACTGACAGAAAACATCTAAAAGGTTTTCTAGTGAAGGAGGATGTCTAAGATCTCTTGCAGTGTTGAGCGAGGTATTTTAAGAGAAGGTCATAAAAACTGGTTTACCGCAGCATGAAAACAGGAAAATAAAGGATTCCGGAAACTGGGGGAAGGTGGAGCCATGTCATCTGGAAAGCCCTAGAGGACAAAGCATAAAAGATGACATCCAACAAACACCCAAGCCCAAGAGGAAAGAATAAAAGAGGGTACTAATGCAAGGCAAGCAGCATCAGCAAACTAAGGAAGTCCTAGTGAAATGGTTAATAGCAGGCCTGGAAAAAGATGAGGAACACACCTCAACAAGATCACTGGCTCAGCACCATTATGAGCAATTTTTTAAGGTCCAAACTTATCAAATACCACAACCATATCTGGAAAGGTATTTAAAATGTGCTCTTAATTTCATACACTGCACCCTTTCTGTCTAATATGGAAACAAATGACAAACACAGCGCTCACTTGGCTGTGGTCATTGTAAGAAAGCTGACGTGACAATAGAGCCTCAGTGAGTCCAGTTATTGTAGTGATCACAAGGACGCCTACTAAGGAAGTGTCCAGGCAGGTTTGCCCGGAAAATTCAGCAATCCATTTGCTCCAGAGAGGAAACAGGCTTTCTACACAAGGCCAACTCTGTGCAAACAGCCTTTACTCCTTCTAACACATCCTCCGAAAGTCATGCCTGTTACATTTATATCCTTAAAGAGCCCCCATACTTTGAAGGGCAGAGATGCATAGTTTAACGGATCTGGGAAGAAGTTAAGAGACACTTAAACACATTTAAAGCAACTTTTATCCTCGTGTGCCTCAGACAGCAGTTACCTGTGGTTTCAGAGCAATAATACCAAAAACAATTCTTAGTCCTCTAATGTCAGTTTCAAATGATATTCTCCAGGTTTCTGTTTTTGAGACTATTTTTATGAGCACTTATAAGGTACGGTGTTCTCATGGTAAACTCTGTCCTTTCTGCACAAATGTTATTCATGGAGATATTTTGAATCTTTGGAAACATTTATGCCCAAACCCTAATGCTTTAATCTCCTAGTTTAAAACTGTCCTTAGACAAAGTCAGTGTTCTTAAACCTAAGAAGTAAGTAAACGTCAAAAGTAATCAAAATTGTTAGTTTCTTTATATCCACAAAACTCAATGTAAATTGTTTTATAAACAATTTTTTCATTGAATCTTGGATGACATGAATCATAATTTTGTGCACATAGCTTCTGCAATCTTTTAAGAACTTCTGACAGGAAAATGTCCATCACCATCAGGTCTTACACTGATGCAATGATGAATGACATTAGTTGGTGGCTGGTAGCTTTCAGGGGTTAGACTGCAGTAAAACAGTGCTTTTAAAGTACAGAGTCTATGCAAGGCATGTAATTTTGGTGTAGTTTGGGAAGTAACATTTTGTTTGTATATTTTGAAAATAAAATACAGACAAATGCTAATCTTAATTTAGTCCCCATAATCTAAAAAAAATGATAAAGCTTCCAAGTGTATTTGCTGATTGCCGTTGGTATAACCTAAAATGCTCTTTTACATTTTGCGCCTTAATATATTTCCTCCAAATCATTAAATACATTCTGTATTGTTAACAGATACTACTCCTCCTTCAAAACCATTTCAAATCCCCTCTACTTTAACTAGACAGCCCTTAAACTGTGAAAAAGATTAGGCATAAACCTATAGGGTGGTAAAGATGACATCCCTATTTAAAATCCCTACTATCTGCAGATTAAAACCTTTTCAGGCTGTGCAATGAAAACATAATAAAGACATTCTAATGATGTTACATAAGACTAAACAGCTGTGGATTTGAGCTACACAGAGAAGGGGATCAGAGAGAAGCTGATCTAGTTTTGCACCATCACTGGACTCTGAAGTTCTGTTATTCAAGAATATCATTTAAAACTACTGCAAAGAATAAGGAATCACCAGATATAATACAAAACTTCAGACAGTAAACAATTCAGCAACATACTTTTGTTCCTATTTCTTTTTTCCTAATTGACACCGAGAACAAAGTTTTAAAAATAGACCTAAAGAATACAACCCTCCACCAAACAAAGCGTCTCCAAACTCTATAGCCTGTGTCTGGAGAACAATTAGGCATCATAGAGTACTTTTCCTTCCTGCAGCATGTGAACAACAGAGACACTCAGGACAGATACAACAGGCCTGTTAGACATTCACCCATGACAAAGCAAAGCCACATTGAAAGCCCTGATCCTAATCCGTACAGATGAACTACGATAAAACAGGCAGAAAGGGATTGACAGATGTGCTGCAGAGATAAAGTCACCCACGTCACAGCCTCTATGTCACATAAATAATCAAGTAACACTGTTCAACTACAACATGGGTCTTAATTCAAAATTTAAATTTTTACTTTTGTAAAAACAAACAGCTTCTCCTTAGACTTAGGGTGAGATTATGTGCTCATGAAGCAGCAAACACATTTTAGCTGATTAGATTAAAATTCATAGCCTTGATTTAACCCTCGCTTATCATAGCTGAAAGAACAGAGGGGGAAATAGCATCAAATTCAGATACCAGTTTCCAAAAGTAAAAATCAACTGAGCAAGAAGGTCAATGAATTGAGCCCAGCTGAAACCAAAATAGCAGCATCCATATTCCCCCAGTTCAAAACAGAACACTGCCCAGACCCATGAGAGCACAGAGACAATAAATACCGACTTATCCTTCCCTGCTGTGAACAAATTGACCGCCCATGCAAAGGACAGCCAGCTGATGGACAGAAATGTGATCACAAGCTCTCCCACAAAAACAAAGTTTGATTTATGCAGCTCCGAATAGGCCGCATTAGCAATTTGAGGTTGACGACAACATTGATTTCATGCACTTCTGCATTAAAATCATGCAGCAGGACATAACAGGTGCTTCTAAATTATTGAAAACTGTCTTATTTTTAACAAAAGTATCCAGCATTTATTAGTGCCATGGCAACACTCTGATTAAGGGCAAGTAAAAACCTAACACTTTTGGAGCTCACTCGACAGTCTATAATGGAGATGGATGGAAACATTGATGATTGTTCCAGAACATCTAGTCTGGAACTGGTCTGTGTGGTGAAACCAGCAGCCAGTTCAAGCTCAGCAGAGTGCATAGACGCTGAGGCATATGGAGGCATCACACCTTACAGATCAGAACAATCCAGACCTGACCTGTAGCCTACAGATTCAGTTCCAGCTTTCCCATCAGATGCTGTGGGATGATGGTGTTGCAAGCTGAACTGAAGTCCAAGAACAGCATCCGCACATGGGTGTTCTTCTCCTCCAGGTGTGCTAGGCTCAAGTGAAGAGCAGAGGAGAAGGAGTCTTCAGTTAGGCAGTTCCATGGTTAGTCAAACTGGAACGGATTGAATGCTGGGGGGAGACTGGAGACGATGTGTTCTTTTAGCAGCCTTTTGAAGCACTTCATCATGATAGAGTCAGTGTGACACGCTAGTAGTCATTAAATGAGGAGACCTGAGATTTTTTTGGGACCGGAATGATGGAGTCAGACTTAAAGCATGCTAGCACTTAGCTTGGTCCAGCAAGGTGTTAAAAAGGAAAAGCCATCAGTTCCCTTAAAGTTTTCTATATCTAATAATATTGCAACTGGAAAATTCATGTGTTGATGACATGATATTGACATTTTCTTGTATATTTTGTAGACAAAATGTTAACACAAATGATCAATGGAATAATTTCAAGGAGATCCACATAAAATAGATTTTATAATAAAAATTGCTGCAATTCAGAGGTGTCTAGCACCGTTTAATGACTTTGTCAGAAAACAGGAGTGACATATGCAGGAGAACATTAGAGTTAGAACAGTGCTTTTGTTTTTTAAAAGCTGCTCAAGTCTGCCTTCACACTGGGTTTAGCTTTCTGCTTCCAACGCCATAAGGATGGTGTCAGCTTATTTAAAGTTCCTAAGGTTCTAGAGCAGCTTTCAAAATGGCTGAAGCAGATCACAGGAGATCTGTAAGTTGCAGCGCCCCTCTATGTCTCTTCTGTGCTTGGAACATTTTGAGAAGGACGGGTTTTTTATTTTGTGCCCGCAATTATTAACTTGCTGGGTTGTTCAATGAAAAACTACCATGGGCAGCTGCTAAGAGCTGTACCTATGGGGGTGATGACATAGGACACCTGGGAAGAGAGAGAACATGAGTTTGCTTATGTCATTCCCAGCACTTCCACGGCGGCTCCACATCCAAGCCAAAATGCTGCAGAGGTAAGAGAAATGTTAAAAATATTCAGAATCGAACTGGAGGCTGAGGTTGAGATTAAATTGTAATTAGCCGGTTTCCCATATAATGATCCAAAGCTAATTGTTATTAGCTTTTGTAGTACTGCAGTCAGAGGCCAACTTTATGGCAATACTGTGGCTCTATGTTGTGCCTTAGGTGTTTCATAGGTCCTGAGTTTAAATAGAAGGTTCAGAGGAATTTATGATGTTTTAAGCTCATCGGTATCAGAGAAAACAAACCTTATAGGTCAGGGGTTGTAGAAGCTCAGGTGTTGTATGGGATGACTTCCTACAAAACTTAAATTTCAGTAACTCCCCCCCCAAAAAAAACTCACCATCCCCACGAGCAGCTGAGACATTCCATAAACACTTAGCCTGCCAGGCAGCAGCACAGAGGGCCCTTTGAGAGCGACAAGGCAGGGAAGCTGAGCCTGCAGGTCCAGAGAGTTAAGTCTGAGTGCAAGGAAGGATAACCGATCTAAGGGGAGCCCTACAGCCACCAGAACATGCGAAACATTGTTTTTTCCATCAATACCTGCCTACAAGAAATGCCTGTTATGTAAGTGAACAGTGAGATTAATGGAAGTGTTAGAATTAACAGTCCAGGCAAGCTTGTAAACAAGCTTTTCTGGTCCACTTTCCAACAGGCAAAGACACAAAGACTATTCATGCATTCTACTGTGAGAGCAGCTGAAGAGGCCTGTTCTGGTGTACTGATGAACTGCCAGCTCTTAAACACTGAAAAGGAGAACAGGTGTCTTACTTTCATACATAAAAAAATCTCTGCACATAGTTTCACCATAACTTCTTCTTGTATGTCAATATTTACAT